AGTAGAGTAGAGTAGAGTAGAGTAGAGTAGAGTAGAGTAGAGTAGAGTAGAGTAGAGTAGAGTAAAATACTTTATTTTGCCAAGTGTGATTGGACACACAAAGAAGTTGTCTCCGATGCAGAAGCTCTCAATGTACATGCAAAACAACAGAGTAATAATAATAATCATAATAATGATGCCAAGCAGCTTCAACTGCCTGGCTGTAGACTACTTTGGGTGGCTAAGTGGCTGAGTTTGGAGCAGACCAAAAGCTTACGGACACTGATTAGGGGAGTCAGGCCCAAAGCCTGCAAGAACCCCGAAAAGCAGAATGTCTGAAGGCGTGGAGGAGGACTTGAGAGGCCTGGGGTGGGGTCCTAGGGCCTGCTCTAGGCCTCTCAAGGCCTCCCCCTTGAGGCATCTGCTTAACGAGCTGTGGGTTCATTTAATGGCTGCATCAGGGAGCGCATGGAGTGGGGTTGTTAAGCAAGACCATCTCACTTAATGGCCATCATCACTTGCAATCATAATGGCCAGGCTCTGTTGCCATCAAAATGCAAGAACTCCCTGAAGTTGCTTTAATTTGGAAATATTTCTCTGTGTAGGTGAGGAACAATAAAGGAAACTGCTGGATAATGGACAATAAAGGAAAGCTTCTTTCTATGAGGGAGAGAGGGGGGGAAAGAAGGGAGGGAGGGAGGACAGGTTTAACTATTTTTCCTGACCTATCCTTGAAAAAAATATTACTTCAATGTTTACATTTTTTTTTATTTTTACCTTTAATTTTTATCTTTAATTTTTTTAATTTTTACTTTGATTTTTAATTTTTTAATTTGAGTTTTCAATTTTCATTTTTTTTTAAACACAAGGCCATCAATAAACTTGTAAAATATAAATTCAATAAACCTAAACCTAAACCTAAAAAGAGGGAGAAAGAGAGAAGCCTACCAAGTCAGAAAACATATTTTTGACTTTTAGCGGGTGGTGGTGGTGGCTGGGGATGGCTGGAGGACCTTGTAACGTGGTCCTTCCCTGAGGAGAAGACCAGCAATCCATACTAAAAAAGGATAACGAGGCCTTTGACTTAATTTAAAATCTTTCTAACATTTCTGTAAATCCCTTGTCGATTGGAGAAGGAGTTAACAGTAGGTGCCTGTTGATGTATATTCATTTCTATGGTGTTCGAAATTATTAGTTCCCTTGAGAGAACTCTGTATTAAAAACTTGAGGTAAAAAAGTTGAACCTGAATGAATAACTCAGAAAAAACAAACAAACACCCAAGCCAGCCAAAGAATAAAATTAATTCACAGAACTTTCTTCCTCAGCAGTTCTGCTTTCACTTTCAAAATCCAACTTGGAAACATGAAAACATGAAGTAGTAACTCCTATTTCTTCAGCCAAATCATGAAGTCAGAAAGGAGTAAGGGAAAATCCTCTGGTGAAGTAATTGAAGTAGAAAATCAGGGATTTTCCACACTGATAAACCCAAATTGAGCAAAATTTGCTAAACTTCTGCACCCAGCAGGGGACTGGACTAGAAGACCTCCAAGGTCCCTCCCAGCTCTATTCTGATTTTTAAGTGCCCATAAATGTATGATTAGAGGGTGAGCTATGCTGAAAAGTATAGCAATGGCAAAAGTACAGCAATTTCCACCTCTTTTAGTGGATATATCTTTGTCAAATTCCAGAGTGTTAGATTAAAAGGGAGTTGTGCAGAGGGAAAGATTACTAGCAACAGCCTTTCTTAACATGATAACAGCTGACATCCAGGTATGGGAGTTGTATAACAAACACATTCATTAAATTGGTATATGTTCTTATTAAGGGGGAATCAGCTACCTCAGAATATTTATATATCACTCAAATTTATATAGCCAATTCTTCTCCTGTGGATGTTCAGAATGGGAAAGTGAGTGACGATGAAGTGTGATTTATTTATATATTTGGATCTAGGAGGAGCCTAAATTACTCAGGAAGGCTTACCTAATTTCGGTAGATATGGTTTTTGTTATCCCTCCAAGGCACAGCCATGGTCCAGAAATAAATCAAGGTGCTTTCCACAGTGTTATGATCAAAGTTTCGCCCATATTTAGGGGAGATGCACATTGAAAAAAAACCTGGCAGATCTTTGGTTACATCATCATGGTCGCCATCTCGTCTTTCTGGATCCTGTTCTGCTGACACACCCTTGCATTTATTCCAGGGGTTCTCATATTTGGAGGGGGGAGGAAATAAACACATTTGGGATTTTGAAAATAAGTTCTAGGTGTTTCCACCAAACTTAGAAGTACCAACTTATCTGAATTTGACCGGTCCCTTGAATGACCTCTGCTTCTTAAATGGTCATGACTTTTTCTGGTTACATTTGTCTTTATTTTTGGCAGTGGTGAGGATGTCTAAATAAATTGGCTGCATCTGTGAAGCTTTTTTACTTTCTAACGAAGTTTATTGGAGGCAATAGAAGTGATTTATGGGAAACGGTTGTCCCAAAGGTGCTGTTTTGTTTTTTTTCAAGAGCCAATTGGCCTTTCTGATTTTTCTTTGGAGATGTTTCGCTTCTCATCCAACAAGCTTCTGGAAGCTTGTTGGATGAGAGAAGTGAAGCACATTCCAAGGAAAACCAGAAAGTCCAGTTGCCTCTTTGGGAAAGAAAAAACACCTTTGGGACAACCATGACCTGTGTGACTGAGAATCTCCACAGACATGGGAAACTGTGCTTTACCACTTGCTGACACCCATTTTTAAAATGTAAAATAAAATCAGGGAAGCCAAAAAGTCGTGGGCACAAAGGAAGGTGCTGCCAGTATATTGATATCTACAAGTACCACACTGAGCACATAATGGCCTTTTCTCTGCCTACTTTCCTCAGTTTATCCAGAAATATCCTGTGCAGAAATACCTCTGCAAAGGAGGGCACGCTATCAAAGAGGCAGACACCTACAGGTTCTTCTTTTGAAACTCCTCTCCTATCATATCCCTGCCATCTGTTGACTTAGCCAGAAAAGAAAGAGTGAATTTATTTATCACACCAATTAAATAACCTGCTCTTCCAGTCTCGGGAACAAACCCGGCCAGCAAAACGGGCGGGGTGCCCTCCTGCCACCTGAAAGTACCAACCTCAGATTCCAACACGTTTCATTTCATAGGCTTTTTTTTTTTTCCTGTTAACTGTTTCCTCTTTCTGCTTTTTTCCTCTTGCTCATGAGTTGCTAGATGTGGGCGGGGACAGTACAGGACTTCGCTTTCGGAAGGGTTTAAAAGGAAGCTGCAACAAGACTGTCCAAACAGTAAAGCCTCTTCTGAAAGACAGAAGGGATTAAAAAAAGGGTGGGAAAGCCAGAAAGCAGTAACATCCCTCAAGTGAATTCCAAGGAGGCTACAAGTCAACCGAAACAGCTAAAAGAACTCCTTTTCATCTGCCAGAATCATCTACCACTGCTTCTTTCTTTGACTGGTGGCTGAATTTTCGAAGCAGTCTAAACTTAGCACCCGTGAAATCAACCTGAGAAAGAAAGAAAGAAACCACCAGGGAGCTTCTATTTGAATCAACTTTTCACCACATCCACCGAAAGAATTTCTCTGCCTTTTTCTGAAGCCAAACCATCCACCATGAGCTCTGAGCAACTGGTACGCGATGTGGAGAAAGGGAACATAGTTGTCATCCGGGAACCTGCTCAGAAGAACAACCACTGGAAGTGTCTCAGCATCTGCTCCTTCTTGCTTCTGATTGGAGCCGTAACCGTCTTTGCCCTCTTGCAACTGGACGCATTTGGGTCTTCTGGAAATCAGGTTAGTAACACAAGATGGGCGAAGAGTGGGTGGCTCTTAGAAAAGTTTCGATGGATGCTTGTCGTGAAATGAGAACGGGGTGAACTTGCAAGCGGGTGATTCTCCGCTTTAGAATGAAGAAATGTTGAGTTAACAATCTTCTGAATAAAGTAAGGAAAAAGCAAACAGGTCTATGTGGAGGAGGATGAAAATTATGAGAAAGATTATGCTAATGCTACATTTTGCACTAAATTAACGAAAACAAACCCATATGCCTAACACTTATTTGAGATTTTAAAGAATAAATAAAGGAAAACTGATGGTAAACATATTTGCCTTAAAATATTTCCAATAAAAGGAATTTAAAAGATGAGATAGATGATAGATGATAGATAGATAACTATTATTTTTCCCAAATATTTTATGCAGCAATTTATTGCTCAATCAACCACTTGTTGGAGGCATATAGAATTTACCTGTACAATAAGTGTTTGGCAGTCCTTCTGGAGGCCAAGTGGATCATTGGTATCCATGGGCCCATTTAATAAAGAATGCCTATCTCTAGTTTTCTATGTGAGGTTTTCTTCAACACATGAAATGTGTGCTTATTTAACTGATATTTATAGCTGCCATTAAGTAAACGAATACAATAATTGCATTAATAATAGTAGCGGCATTACTGCATCATCCTTATTATTTTTTCCCCCCATTTCTTTTCCAGGACTCTAAAGTACAGGGAAATTCATTTTCTGGTAAGTGTTTCTAAGCAGTCTTATTTCTTTAAGTAAAGTTTTTCCAACGCAGTAGTAAACTGTGTATCGTTTTCCAAACTGATACTCCATAGATCTATTACTATCTTATATTCCTTCATTTCTACTCAGATTGGATATTTACTATACTGGTTGGGAGTGGCTAGAATTGAGACATAGCCCACAACCAACATACTGTATATAGCTACAAACCCAATGCTTAATATTTAAGTATATGGATTTAGCATCTTCCCAATTCTTGAGGGAAGATGATCAGAAGGCAGGAATGCCGCACTGAATTAATTGGAATAATATTTGCTTGTCATGGATAGTTTGAATATATCAATATATCAATTCTTTAGCCAGTTATAGAACACACAGCATCTCGTGCTGATGAAAGTGATTGATTTTGATGCATTATCTGACGCTGTATTTTTCTTCCCTTTTTATAGATCATTTGCCCGCCACGATGAAAGTGCAAGCCTTGAGGTCTAGAAAACCAGCTGCCCACGCTGTTGGTGAGGAGATACTTTAAATTGCTTGAAAAGGGGTGGCTGGAGACAGGCTTCAGATGGGCCTCAGATTCAGAAGGGCTTCATGTGCTGCTTGATGAAAATAAAATGCTTGCAAAGAAGAAGCACTTGTCACATTCTGCAAAGAGGCAGACTTTTGAGATAAGGGGCCGTTTCACTAACTGTGAGCTCCTGGCACACTTGCAACTGACTGTGCTCTACAAGAAGGCTGTTGGATGAAACTCAAACTGTAGGATGAAGGGAAGGTTTGTACACTAATGATTTGGACTTGCCTTAATTTGGCTATGATTCTCTCCAATCATATCAGAGGCTTCTTATTTTTTTATATTAAGTGCTTAAGATGAGAGAGGATGGTTAGTAGAAAGTCATCCAATGAGTTTCAGCGAGCAACTGGGTCTTCCATAGCCATAGGACATTTAGCACAGAAAGCTTTTACTGCAGAAAACCTTGCAAACCCCTATTGAAGTTGTGCAATACAGCCTTTCTCCTATAGGAATAGCGATCAGATTTGGTGGGGTCAACCTTACTCAAGTCAAGTTGCCTGAAGGCTTCCCAAAGCAGGACCTGGCTTTGTGCCCTTAAACCCACCAAGGCATTGAAGACATCCCAGGTCCACTAAGTCTCATAGAAAGCTTTCCCCAACTTGGTCTCCTCCAGAGGTTTCATTCCATGGCTCCCACAAACTCACTTTAGAAACCACAAAATTATGAAAGCTGCAGTTGAGCACAGCTGGAAGGCATCTGAGGGAAATTGTGCCTCAGAAACAGATCCAGGCAGTTCTCCACTTAGGACCAACAATTGAGTCCAAGGTTTCTGTTGCTATAAGTGAGTCAGTCGTTGAATGGGTTTTGCCCCCCATTTTATGTCCTTTCTTGCCGGAATTGTCCAGTCAATCACTGCAGTTCTTAAGTTAGTAACACGGGTGTCGAACGAATCTGGCTTTCCCATTGACTTTGCTTGTCAGAAGATCACAAAAGGGGATCTCATGATCCCAGGACACTGAAGGCATCATTAAATATGCCAAGCTTCTGAATTTGGATCAGGGGTCCATGGGGATGCAGCAACAGTCGTAAGTGTGAAAAAGAAAGTGTGTGACTTTTTTCAGTGCCGCTGTAACTTCGAAGGGTCACTAAACAAATGGATATAAGTCAAGGACCATTTGTACAGTACATTCTTCTTTGAGTTGACCGGCCCCTTCTTCCTAACACTGATTTCCTTTGACTTCACAGCTTCTTCCCACAATACAAAAGAACTGAATTGGACTACAGATGTGATTCCTACCTTCCTGGAGAATGGCATGCAGCTGGATAAGAGCGAAAACTCCTTCGTCGTGCCTTCTACCGGATTGTACTTTATCTACTCTCAGCTTTTGTTCCACAAGGACAACTGCAAGACGCCCCTTCTGCTCACCCACAGCATCGTCCGCCGGTCATCCGAGATCAGCGTCGAGGTAGAATTGCTAAAATCCATCAAATCTGTCTGTGAACAGGTCTCCAGCAACAAAAAACTGTGGTTTGAATCTATTTATCAAGGGGGCGTCTTCCATCTGAACCAAGGGGCTCGCTTGTGGTCCAAGACAAATCACCCTGAATATCTGGACTTCACTCATTCGGCACAGATTTATTTTGGGGTCATTGCTATGTAAAAAAAAAAGACTTTATGATGCCTAACCACATCTTCATTCATGTACTTCATGTATCTTGGGTGTGGGTTTTTTCCCCCCTCCTACTTACAAGAGAAGCCAACAAAGCCTATACGTAGGCAGACAGTATTAGCATCCTTAGTGTGAGTCTTTTCTAAACTAGATTTTTATTTATTTATTAATATTTATTTATTGAGCTTCTCCTATAATCTTGAAATGTCAGCTCCCCCCCTCATCCCCTGTGTAGGAGATCCTTGTAAAAAGACAGCACACTTTTTGCAGGCAATAAATGCATACACACGTAACAATTTAGTTGTGGTTCCCCGTTAGGTTGGGTTCATGTTGATGACCCTGTATTTGGGACACTGCAAAATGCTTTTGTGGCTATCTTCAAACAGGATTTCCATTCCTTTGTCCCCCAGTCTAGGTTAAGATTTGAATATTTACATACATGTATATATATATACTATGTATATTTGATACCATTTGACTGTGTTGATTTAATCATGTATATTACATGAGTTATCCTGAATTTTGGGGGAGGGGATAATACTGGGCTATGGATCCTGGTCCCCCCCCCAGCTAACAGTACAATCCTATCCAAGTTTATTTGGAAACTTCTAATATTCTCTCTTCGATTGTACTGCTTCAGTCTGATGTCAGAAAGTCTGACATTTTTGGTATTTCATTGGCACCAAGTAGGTTTTTGGCAGAAATGCCTTACGGTACTCTACAGGTTGCCATGAAAAAAAATGTTTTTTTAATGTATAAGTATTACAAATATATTTTTATTAGAAAATGGCTTATTTATTTATTTATGTATTTATTTATTTGTCTATTTATTCTGTTCCGAATCTCTGCTCAGCAGAGTGTGTGAAAACATGTACTGCTAAGATAATATATACTTTGGTTTCACTCTGTATTTAAATTCAGGCCAAACAATAAAATGAAATTTTGTAATGGACTGCATCCGTTCAACGATTTGTCTTTTTCGGTTTGATTTTAGTCCTGAGTAATAATAACTTCAGTCTGAAGTCCAGGATTACATTTCTAGCATCCCAGAAATGGTTCCAAGAAATATCGTAAGGACAAGGCACAATCAACCTTAAGCACTTCTTGAATGTAACAGTATTGTCAAGGGATGAACAGATGGGCTCAATTTAGCCTCCCAACAATAAGAGCTGGTTTCCATTGGCCCTATTAGGTATCCTGCTCCTGTCTTGCTCGCCCCTTCCCATTCCTCAAATGATACTTATACATGCTAAGCAAGCTCAACTTCTCCTTCCAAAATAAAGGCAATGGTTTCTTCTATCCACTCTGTCCAACTCTAGAAGTCGGTGTCATCCCCATTTCTTAGCCAAGGGAGCCAGCATTGCCTGAGAATGTTTTTTTCCATGGTCATTTGGCCAGCATGATTGTATGCTGAGGCATGTCGAATGCTGTTATCTTCCCAGTGAAGTGGTACCTATTTATCTACTTGCATTTGCATGATTTTGAGCTGCTAGGTAGGCAAGAGCTGGAGCAAGGAACGGGAGCTTACCCTGTCGCCTGGTGCTTGGGTCTTAAACCTGACAAGATAGGCATTTTTAATGCTGAGTCATTGTGCTTCCAAAATGTTACCAACCTATTGCATCACAGTGCAGACCAAGATAACTCACCAAATAAATAAACATGGCTGCCAATAACATACCAGTGACCAGACTAACTCTTGTTGCAATATAACTCCTCCAAAATTCCAAAGATGCTAACATAGCTATCCCAAAGGTGCTTTTTCAGGAGGCAACTGGACTTGTTTCTTTTTCTTTGAAGGATTTATATTCCACTCCCCATTATCCTGAAGAAGCTTCTTGGATGAGAAGCAAAACGTCTCCCCCCCCCCAAAACCCCCAAGAAAGTCCAGCTGCCTCCTGAAAAAGCACCTTTGGGACAACCATGACCTGGATGACTGAGAATCTCTACAGACTAACATAGCTAGTCTTCAGTAACAAGGCAGGACCCTGTAAGACAAAGGTCTTCAAAGTTGGCAACTTTAAGACTATGCATAACTGGCTGGAGAATTCTGGGAGTTGAAGTCCACAAGTCTTAAAGTTGCCAAGTTTGAGGACCCCTGCTGTAAGACTTTTGAGGCTGTAGAGATACATGCCTCCTTGCAACTCTAATTTACAAAAGACTCTCAGATGGGCCCTCAGTGGATTCAAAACCACAATTTCAAGACATGACTCAAAGAAACCAGGATATGATGAAATGTCACCTAGCCAACTCTCCTATCTGCAAAAGGCTGGTTGACTCCATTAGGAGGCCTACTTAATTTTTCAGAGCAGTTCTTTTCTATATTTTTCTTGGGCAAGACATCTTTACGGGAAAACTCAAGCATTTATATAGCAATTTGCTTTCTGCTACATGACGCTGAATCTCTACAACAGCATTTCTCAACCTTCACAACTTGAAGATATATAAACTTCAACTCCCAGAATTTTCCAACTAGTATGCTGACTGGAAAATTCTGGAAGTTGAACTCCAGAATTTGAAGTCTACAGATGTTGAGAATTCTGGAAGTCAAAATTCTCAACATCTGTAGACCTCAAATTCTGGAAGTCAAAATCCACAGCTGTCAAAGTAAATTGAAGTCCACAACTGTCAAATGGCTCTACGGGTGAATTAGTACTTCCACCATTCAGGAAGAAGGTGTGAGGGAAAAGTAGAACATCATTCACAGGGGAAACTGGACAAGATGATCCTAGTCTGGCTTAAAGACTCGCAAGAAGCCTTCTTAAATCTGTAATTGATATCTGATTTCCCCATCCCTTGAATGGGTCTTTCCTTCCTCATTCCAAGGGTTGTGTGGCAGAATCAAATGGGATCCAAAGAGGGAAATCAATTAATGAATTCCTATCTATCTATCTATCTATCTATCTATCTATCTATCTATCTATCTATCTATCTATCTATCTATCTATCTATCTATCNTGTTGTGGGCCAAGTGCCTGTCAGTCTGAATTCTGAAGTCCCACAAGATCTTGACTTTCTCATTCTTTTTTCATTATTATTCATTATTATTCATTATTATTATAACTATTATTATTATGTTTAGTAGTATTATTATATTCTTATTAGAAGATATGTTAAGAGGGAGAAGTGAATATGTTTATTATGTTCAATATTAGTATTGTAAAATCAGAGAATTAATATTAATGTAATGCATGCTATAGTAAATTTGGATTATTACAGCAAAAATATATTTGTACCAAGATGATGACACACTGTTTAATGGAAGTTGGAATTATTATACAAAAATATTTTTTTTAAATGTTATATATAAAGAACTGGGGCACACAATGGCGTGCGAGCCTGCTCACACACGCAGCTCCATCTGCACAAGCGCCAGATGCACCTGCTCATTTGTGAGCAATTCTATTTGTTCAAGTGGCCGGTGTGCATCCCTCACACTGTTTGCGTGGAACAATCTTTTCTCCCTCACCACCAATGGCGCCATCAGTTTCCACAACAGACAATTGGACGAGAAGACCTCCAAGGTCCCTTCCATCTCTTCTTAGGCTGTCTGTGGGAAACCTGTAAAACACATTCCTTCCTTCAAGATATTAATAGTCAATGACACATAGAATATTTTGTAATCATGAAATATTTAAAAACACAGCTGATCGTCTCCTGACCTTTCAAGGCGGCAGAAATAAGGAAACTAAAAGCCAGCCCAAATTGTGTTTTTGACATCTCATTGTAGTTGGCTAATCTTTGCATTACATCACCAAGCATTGATTCATTTTTTTTAAAATCATTGAAGCCTTGTCAGGTGTCATCTCCTCAGAGAACCATTCTCTATTTTCCTTACCTTTATCTACTGATTTTAAAACCACTTGCAATCCCAAAACCTGCCGGAGATACTGGCAATCTGATCGTAAATTCATATGCAAGCTGTGTACATTAACAATGACTTTGCAAAGGGCTTTCTCCTAAGGAGTGATATGATAGCAGAGTTCCAGTATCTGAGGGACTGCCACAAAAAGAAGAGGGGGTCAATCTGTTCTCCATAGCACCTGAAGGCAAGAAAAGAAACAATGGATGGAAATTAATTAAGGAGAGTAGCAACTTAGAACTGAGGAGAAATTTCCTGACAGAACAATTAATCAGTGAAGTGACTTGCCTCCAGAAATTGTGAATGCTCCAACACTGGAGGTTTTTAAGAAGAGATTGGATAACCATTTGTCTGAAGTGGTACAGGGTTTCCTGCCAA